GGCAGCGCGATTTTGGGTATTTAAACGATCTGTTTCCTTTATCTCTATTCTTAAATTTTCGCCTTCATCATCTAAGCAATCCTCGACCGTGGTATTATATGATCTGCTTAGCGAAGGGGTCAATTTATTTTCGCAATTAGCATTGGTGAATAATGGGTCTCTTTCTTTACGATGAAAGTACATCTTCTGGAAAGAAATTTCATGGATGCAATTACGTTTACAATATTCAGATCTGAATGAGAGCGTCGTAGACCTCCAATCACATACTGGATTGTGGAGCTTTAATCATATTATACCTAGAATAATAGTATTACTTTTGCTGAGTTTTGTAATATAAAATACGAGATTTTCAGAGTGATGACCAAGATGGAAACGGAAGACGAAATAATGACTGATGGCTGCTTGGGAGCTACCGTCAGCCAGCCGTACAGAACGTGGGGTCACAAGTGGTTTAGCTTCTATTCCAAATCTTTTTACAATTGACTCTTCATCAGCAAATGCCATGGCTGTGCAACCGCTGTCAATCAAACTTTTTGTAAAAATCTTCACATTATTATTTGTGCGTGGATAATAAAAATAAGATTGTAAAGGCATTGAATTACTTGAACTAGTGTAACACATTTCAAGTGGTGAACTATCAAGTAATACACTCCTTATAGATTCATTTTCATCCTCATAACAGTTCAACCCCTATCGACGACTTAAGACAGGGGTTTGTCTTTTAACTGATTATCCACAGGACGAGTAACATCTTCAGCGTCCCTCTCATCCTCAGGGCAGATATCTGTGATGCTCCCAGTATTATCCACGGTGCGAAGTTGTGCAGGGGCTGTCAGGAGTGGAAAATTAGACTAGAAGCCCCGTGAATAATGCTGTGGTACGTATTGCGCTTGATTATAATACATATAAGGCGTTGGCCATGGTTGCATGTTCTGGTGCAGAGGATATTTTTGCTGGGAGGATACCGGGGGGACATATGCCCTAGATTGTAAATGACCATTGACCCAGCTGACTGATGACTGGTTAATTGAACGTACTGGCATTGGGATCGGATCTATCTTCCTGTGGCGATCTTTCGCAAAATGGCCCTTCTGGCCACAAGCTAAGCACAAATTATTATTTTTTCTATATTTCCTATCAGATTCTGTGAGCTTCACACAACCGAGATCTATAGGGTCACCAGCATCAATCGAATCTTGACTAAGTCTTAGATCTTGGCGTGGAGAATAGCTGGAAGTTTATTGGATTTTGGCAATGTGCTCCTGCTGTCCCAGGTTTCGGGCAATCCTATTTATCATTTGACTCCAACTGTTGAAGTCATCATCCTCGGGCAGGTTCACTTGATTGTTTACAACGCTGGTTATCTTTATATTTAACCGCTTCCTTGACATATCGACTTTTGTCCTGTCATCATATTTAGCTTTTTCTGCAATATGATCAAAGTCAACTTTGAAGTCTCCATAGGCGCGCTTTTCCTGAATAAGGTATACAACTTATTTTTGGCCGTCTGAGTTACATCTAGCAACATGTATCTCCCGTCCAATACTGACCACAATTCTTCAGAGGTCTCCCATGCCCATTTCTTAGGATGGTGGTGATTCTTGTTCATTATCTGAGCCCCATCTTTCACTGAATCCCATGCCTTGTCTGTGAGTTGCCCAGTAATGTATGAAATTTTCTCAAGTTCTCCAGGGAAGCATGGTTTATCAACAATAATAGTATATTGAACTTGTGTCTTCCATCGCTCGTATACCAGTTGCCTTTTCTCCATGTTATTCTGATTACCAGTAAACTTATCATGGTCTGTTGTGGTACGGCGAGGTGTTCAGATAGCCTGTTCATTAGAAACAACATTTTGGTTAGTAATATTGCTATATATTTGGGTCTGCAACTTATGAATCTCTTCATTCTCTGATGATATATGAGCATTAAGTTTGCTTATTCTCGTATTCAATATATTAATATCATTAAGCCGGCTTTGTATTGTTGGGTTTTATGATCAATGGCTTCACGTAGCTTTGAAGACTCTTGATGAGCGGCATTTAAACTTTCATTAAGTTCATTGACGTGTGCTGTCATGCTTTTAAAGTTAGATTCGTATTCTGAAATTGTTGCTGACTGGCGGGAAAGTTGACTATTAAGAACGCTAAATTCAAAATCAAAACATTTTAACAAGCTGCAAAACATTATTTTTTCGGGAGAATCTAATGTTGAGGCTATAGTTGTCAGGAGAGGAGTTGGGTTTGAATCTGGAGGGAAGGTATAGTCCTCGATAGCTTTGGCGAGATTTGGCCAGCTTTCATTGAAAGAGGACAAAAGTTGGCTCAGAATTGTCGCGTCCTGATTACTGGTCATTTTAACGTTTAAGCTGGTTAACTTAGTGGAAAATTTTATAGTCGTGCCGTGTTTCGTCTTAAGAGATCTGGAAAGCTTGGCCTCGTGAGAAAGCCCTCAATGATTTTGAAGTAGTTGTTGGTCATGTTGTTGTTATCATCGTTAGGGATGGCGAAGCACCAATTTCCTGCATAGCGCGAGCAATGTCCAACGATACATATTATGCGATCGTGTTCGCTGCTGTCCTCACCAGGGTACTGTAGGAACCGAAGGCTGATGGCTTGTGTAAAGCCATTATATCTGGCCGAATTTCCATTTCGTGATTTAATTTTCGTTAGTTTCGAAGTCCGGTCTGTTATTCAGCGGGGCTTTGCTAATTTTGGGTGAAAGAGTGGAAGCTCAAACGTAGACTTCTTGTATTTCAATGTCGCATTTTTATCGGAGTGGCGGCACTGGCTTTAACGAATCTGCCCCGCACGTCGCGATTTTCGATGTTTGGAGCTATGGTGTCGTTCTTGTTGATAGGTGTGGATTCTTCACCTTCGCTTGATTTAGATAAAATCTTAGGTTCGTCTTCTGCTAGGCCACTGCTCATAATCCGGGGAATAGGTCCTCATAAGCCTGTTCTTGATTCCGAATGAGTTGGGTTCCTTTGATGGAAGCGTCAAAGTCACGGCTTGAGAAGGAAGGCAATTATCGCGTTTGTGGTGTAAGCTGACGCTGGTGAACTAAAATTTCGAGACAGGACTAGGTTTATACATGTTGGCGTGTGAAATAGACGGTGAGGCCAGCGGCCGTAACTGTAAATTTTAAAAATAGAAATAAAAAATAGCCCCCTTTAGAGTAAACGTAATACCCACGAAATAGAGGGCAAGTTAGTGCGAAATGAACTGGTAAAAGCAAGATGAAAGGTTGCCACGTTGACCTCTGTCTTTTCAAAGTTCCATCTGCTCATCTGACGCTCCAGTCGATGTCTTCAAGACCTCGTAAGGGTTTAGAAAAGAGTTCGCTTGTCTGCGGCTGCGGATATTGTTGATGGTCCTGCTTCCTGGGAAACTTCAGGATAACTAGTGCGCTGTGCTATGTGAGACTTGCTGGGGCCCTGCATAGTAGCAGAGGGTTTAGCGCATCAGACTTCTACTTGGCGACGGATACGCGCACCAGAGAAGATCTTCCGGATGGCGATGACCTGTGATTTTGTCTTCGGTGGGTTAGAGAGCTGTGGCTGCAGCTCATAAGCTGAATCGTCTACTGTATAAGGGCCGTGACAGTTCCTAAATCGTGGTGAACAGGTATCTCGAGCCAGTGCAATGCAGAGGTTATTGAGGCCCTTCTCTGTGTGCTGAGGGGACCCACAAAGGCGGCATCTTAAGGCAGAGAACCAAGCGCGGCTGTTGAGCCAATAGCAGCACGTTTTGCACTGTACTAAAAATGGGCGTTTAGGAAGGATTCGGGTGATAGTGTAGCACCCAAAGAGATAGAAAAACTGCGGAAGGTGGCTATGTTCTTGAGGGAAAGCGAACGATCCAGGTTATATCTGGGCTGTCTGAATTTGTCTCATTATCCTAGGACGGGAGTACAGAGACGGGAGGAAGCTAGCTGGTGTGGCTACAGCAGCCGTTATGGCCTTGTTCAAAACTGGTTCGAGGAAGTATTGCATGTTTTTGGTTGATCGTCCCGCAAAACCGAGGGATATTCTCACTCATGTAGGGCGTCCAGGGTGACGCTTTCTCAATGAGAGCAGTCCCAAAATGATCGACTGTTTCCAGTTTCTTGTTTAAGGCATCGGCGTTACCAGCGCTAGGGCGGAGAGCAAATCTTGTATTTCTTGACTTAACATTTGGTAGAATTTGGCATTGACTGCCAAGCTTAGAATTTAAGTAAGTTTGTATTGCATAGCAAGATGCGATTCGTAGAGGACTATCGTCTGGTTTGGTGTGTTCAATTCGTAGGCGAGCATTTAGTTTCTTTGCAGTGGGAGGGGTTTGCTCAGCGACTCGTTTGGCGGCGCCAGCACAGTTTTGGGAGGCGTTTACTTTTGCTGTCTTCATAGGACTAGATTTCTTGATAGTTGAGGTACCACGCATATGTGCGATGAAATGCCTGGCAGCAATAGTTGCTAGTCCTGAGGAGCTGTTACGGATAGCTTGTGCCTGAGGCTCTGTTAGAATAGCGCGAGCGTGAAAAGATATTCGTCGAGAGGTCTGGCTAATGAATCAAACAAAATTTCTGCTAAATGCGCCCTCGAGGAGAGACCGTTATATGAGGCCAGGGGTGTGGTTTTCAGGAGCGTCATCGTACGAGAGACTTTGATTTGAAAGGGGGTTTTGGCGGACGTCGAGGTCTATATATAGGTCTAAGAAATATTCTTGTTACACCACGATTCATTCTAAACGTGGTCGCGGCTTGTGTCATCTAATGGATGCCTCGACGCGCGACTGTGGAAATGGGACTTGGGGATCTGATGTCGTTTAGATCTTCTACGATGACGTAAATCGGCAATGCCAATTCTTAAACACAAATTCCCATCCACCCTTGTCACGTGCCACATATCAGTCTGAGTCTATTCTGCTAGCGTTAGATTATTCATAACAATCGCACATCCAGCTTCCATTGTTATGTAACAACTATCTAAAGTTAATCATCTGCCACATAGAATTGCCTCAATGGCTGAAATGGAAGTTCAGACAGATCTTTCTAATGGAAAGCAGGAGACAGATGCGATTTTACAACCAGTGAACAACACAGAAATCGGCAACGAGGTCATTATACCTCCGGAGAAAAAAGTTAAGAAAGTCGTTCGCAAGAAAAAACGACCTGCAAGGCCCCAAATCGATCCGCTGACTTTGAAATCTGAGCCACCACCGCAAACTGGGACAATATTCAATATATGGTACAATAAATGGTCAGGGGGTGACCGTGAAGATAAATATTTATCGCAGACAGCTGCTGTGGGACGCTGCAATGTCATAAACGATACAGGATATACGAAAGCTGATAAAGTGAACGGAAGTTATTTCTGCCTTTTCTTTGCGCGTGGGGTCTGTCCCAAGGGTCAAGAGTGCGAGTATTTACATAGGTTACCTGGAATCCATGATTTATTTAATCCTAATGTAGATGTATTCGGGCGCGATAAACATTCCGATTACCGAGATGATATGGGAGGTGTGGGTAGTTTCATGCGCCAAAACCGTACGATATATGTTGGTCGAATACATGTAACTGATGATATCGAAGAAGTTGTTGCTCGTCACTTTGCTGAGTGGGGCCAAGTTGAGCGGAGTAAGTACGGTCTAGATTACCTGAGAGGCGCTAACATTTTTAGTTCGGGTTTTAAATACACGAGGTGTCGCATTTATCACTTATTCTAATGAAGCCAACGCTCAGTTTGCGAAAGAGGCAATGGCTCACCAATCATTAGATCATAATGAGATTTTAAATGTTCGATGGGCAACTGCCGATCCAAATCCAATGGCACAAAAGAGGGAAGTTCGGCGTATAGAGGAACAGGCAGCTGAAGCTATTCGAAGAGCTTTACCAGCCGAGTTTGTTGCGGAGATTGAAGGTCGTGATCCAGAAGCGCGAAAACGCAAAAGGATTGAAGGAAGCTTTAATCTTCCTGGTTACGAAGCTCCAGACGATGTTTACTACGCAAGAGGTAGCAATGTAGTCAACCCGGTTGGAAGAGAAGGCTTTGAGCTGGAAGAAGAACAAAAATTTATAGATTTAGCCGACAGGATGGAAATGGAAGAACCTCAGCCACTCGCACAAGGCGATGAGTTTTTCTCAGCAAATATGATGGCAGCACTGAAAGACACCCGAATCGTCGTAATGGAACAGAAAAAACCTATACCAGCAGGACCTCTAGTCGCGTACGATAGTGAAAGCGAATGATAAACACTTTTGGCGCTTGATCAATTAAACTCTCACAAGAACGTACACGAAAAAATAAGAGATCCCATTTAATTTTTTTTAAACATTATGTGCTAAACGTCGCCCTACAAGCTTGTCACAGGCTCTGCATGTCTGGACTAATTCCGCTATACAATCATAAAAGAAGAACCATTGGCTGGTTAATGGAGATAAAGAAAAAATTTAGCCGTTTCAAGCTCCGTTGAGATGCCCGGTAGATCTTGTAAAAACTTTAAAGAACCCAAGGTGAGGGACTCAAACTAATGAAAAAGAACATCGTGATTCATTATTACAGATGAAATTATTTAGGAGATTTTACGCGACTCCTCGAGACGCGACTATACAGCTTTTAACATGGACGCCAGGCTGCCCTGAAATGTTTTATGAAGGGAAATATATATTTAGAAACCTACACTGGCTGTACAAGTAAACAATAAGGGAGAACAATAATAAAAGTAATTGTTAACCCAGCCACTTGAGCATTGATACAATCCCCTCGAATTAACGAATTAAAACGCAACGAGATTTATGGGTAAATATTGGCTCAAGCGGCGCGAGAAAGCTAAATGTTCAAAAGTCGTGACAGCTTAGTATCCTCGTCTCTCACTAGGTACTGGGATGTTGTCTTTCGTCAGTTTATTTAGAAAAAGACGTTATGGTGGTTTTTAATTATGCGAACATGATCGCAGATTTAAAGGCACGCCTCTAAAAATAATTTATTACTTCTTGATCAGCAGGCCACATGCGACCTTTTCTGCAAGATAACATGGTCCTTCATAGTCATAGACTTAGTATGGATTTCAATTTTATTCTATTCTATTCTATTCTACAGGAGAGCAAAAGATATAAAAATCTAGATTTCTCCGGCCGGATCAAGAACTAGAAATATAAAATATGTCATACCCTAACAATAAACCTGTCGATTTATCCCATATCTTAGCAATTTTCCGAACTACTTGATGGCATTATGTGTTATTTATGCCAGCCTATTAATATAATGGGCAAATTTATGAGCAATCCTGAAAAGCAACATATCTTTGACTGGTCCGTTTTTACTTTGTCATTAAAATGCGCTCCTTCGATACCACACCCTATGGAACTTAGCCTAGTAGACTAATGTTCCCCAGTTTTCCCCTTAACTTCCTCACACGATGGATAAAAGCAAATCTGTTTGGGGCTACAACCTTCAAAAGCGGTTGTTATATGATACCTCCTAAGAGGCTGGATCAAAAGTTCAAGGGCCTTCTTTAGTGAATTATTTAAAGTGACTTTTGCAAGGACCTATCTCACCCATGTACTCAATTAGCAGCAATTTCTTTCGGTTAAATATCGCTAAAATAATTCAAAAATATTGGACTGATCAGAATAGGAAGTATTTGTTAATAAGAAAACTTGTCTACCTAATCTACTCGCTCTCGCCAAAGCATTACATGTTACTGGTTTTACTCGCTATTAGTTAGCTGGACTGACCTACAGACCCAGCCTTGCATTTATGTGGGATGTAACGAATGGGACTGATTTTTGTACTAGGCAACACGCCTAGTAAGTGTTTATATAACCTAGACATTTCCACACACTCAGTAGAGACTAAGTCCCATCTATCTTACAGAAAAAGTGTAGTTTACTTTGTGGTATTGCTTGCTTGCAGCGGCTACGACCTTGGTCCTTTTACATAAATTTTTTAATCACCTTCCATAATTATATCCCCGTGGGGTGTAGCCTGGAGAATAATTAAACTACCCAAGCATCCGAGGTACACGAGAAGTGCACGAAATTTCTTTTTCTAGTTTCAGATACGTCTTCAACACACATATCACTCTCATTTCATGGCCTTTCTGACTCGCGAAACTCACTCACAAGCTTGGCAAAAATGGCGGGACCTAGCAACAAAAGCTCCGATACTCTTATGTTAGATACTTCAGGGTGGAATTTACTGTTAAGCCTCCCTCAAGATGAGATGCAGGAACTTCTCAGAATACGAAAGGAAAGTAAGGAGCGATTTTATTCGTCCCAAGAAACCGTATTCTTGAGTGAACCGTCTAACCAGTCAATAACGGCCGCACCAAAGAAATAGGTCACGCTTCCAAACGGAAGGGGAAACCTGAATGAAGAGTGCAGAGAGAGACAGAACCGTACACTGACTTGTGTGCGATCTGTTTGGACATCATTTACACCTTCCAGAGTAAAATCAGACCCATACAGCCGATTGCTCCCGAGAAAGTGCAAAAAGGAGTGAATATAATCGTTGTGAACTAGCCTGGTTTTGGCCGACAAAATTCAAAGACCGGCAAGCTCGGCAGACAACCGTAGTGGTGTTGAATAGAATGGAATAGGGATACGATCTATATTTCCAAAAATTTTTAAAGGAAGTAGAATCATCGTAGCTTATACATCATTGAGGAAAAAATAATAATTTTAAAACTCGATCAGTTCTTGCTTGCGTCGGACTTACTCAGGTGTCAAATTGCCTCAGTCTGTTGATAATAAAGTCTAGGTAGAAGGGGTAATAGAATTTTTGTGAGAATTTGAAGCGTTAGCGGACCACCGACCTAAAGGCGCTACCCAAACTAACACCATCGCTGGGCCTCAAAAAAGTGGAAGCACTAAAGTATATTTAAATAATGAACCGAATACATTCGCATCCAAACTTAATCCGGATATCGAAATTTAGATAGGGGGGACCAACGCAGTGCCGGCATTGATTAGGAACTTTTAAGAAAGTGGTATGAGATCAAAGAAGGGAAAACATATAGAAGGGGTCTAGGGTTATGGTCACTGAACGCAAGCAATGCCATAAGTTAATCTATATCCTACTTCAGTAGAAAGTAATTTAGTCGGACTGTGCCCAATATTTGTGTCCTGACTATCATCAAAGAAAAAATATCACATTTGCGAGAAAGCCATGTGGCATTAGACGTTGCTCTTTTCATCAATTTGATATCACGGCTATCTTATCATTCATTTACCCAATTTCCATCTTCAAGCTTTCCATGCGAAATCATGGCGGACGTGAATAAATCTAGCAGTCTCGACGTGCCGTTTAAAGCAACAATAGCGAACAATTCTGAGGGCAACAGAACGCGGATAGCTCCAAAAGATAAGAGCCTTGAAATCATGAGGAAGCTACTTAGGAGGTCAGACTTCGAGTCACGGATGAAGTAGAGAAGTTAGCCGTGCGGCCTATTTTAACCCATGCAAGCTCTTTATAACTCGAGCATATTTCCCGAAACGCTTGACCTTATGCTCTGATAACTTTAGATAGACCTCTTAAGCAAGCTTTCCAGCCAATAATGCGGTAACAACATCCATCTAGTACACATTCCAGTTTTTTCTGGCTGCAATAGGCTGGCTAATACGCACTGCATCAAGCCTTATGGTTGGTGCGAAGGCTTCCTCAGAATCGATCCCGTGTTTTCGGGAGAATCCTCTGGCCACTTTTAAGCTTTGTGTCGTAAGATCTCATTATCCTCCCTATTATTAGATCCAACACAATTTTAGCCGTGACAATATTTTTCACGGCTAGAATATGATCAAAAAGATCTGAAAATGTTCCATGGTTGACTAGTGAAGCCATTTTGGAATCATATGCTTCTATCCGTTTATCTGCATTTTTACCTTTGAGTGCAGCATCATAAGATGCGGGAACATCGATTTTTTCATCTTGAGCGACAGAGATAGCATGTTCAATTGGTGCACCTAGTGCAAAGCCTGGGGCTTTGCATTTCTGATGTTTTTCACATTGATTTCCCCTCTCTCCTGATCGTCGATCTCCTCTTTCTTCTATCTTTTTGTCTAGATTTTGAATACGTTCAGCTTCAAAATTAGACGTTAGTTCACTCGTTGCTGAAGTTCAATCTGAGTTTAGAGTATCGGAACTGCCTGCTCTAGCAGTACAGTACTTTGCCCTTCGAAATTACCTTCATAGCATAATTCTGAATTATAAGCATTATTGCGTTGTTGGGGCTCTGGAAGCTGCAACTCTATATTGGTGGTGTAGTTACAAAAACTTTGACTTTCTATTTGTTTACAGATTTCTGGATGGTTAGTGTCATTATCGAAGCTCTCATCTTCACTTAATTGTTGTCAGGCGCAGGTTCACTGGGCGCAGGACTCGAGGCGTGGGATGTGCTGAGGATGGACACTTCGTAGGAACACGGAGGGCTTTCCAGAGAAGTGATAAACGGGAACGCGGGGGGTTCTTCTAGATAGAGTAGCCGAAGGTGACGGTAGGTGACAGTGGGTAGTAGAGGACGAGAGTGAGATTGTTTGGTTTTTTAATTATTTTATTTTTCGCATTAGATTTTAATTGCGTATCCAGCTATCTAGCTATGACACAATATCAAAGAAAATTACAGAAAATATGACTCAATTTATAAGGAGAGCACTCATGCCTCGGGTTTCATTTGCAAGTACCACTGCGAAGTTCTGGTGGCTTTTTTTTCACCCCAAGTCAAGCCTCATCCGTGAATAACCACCCAGGGGAACGTCTCAAAAACCCTGAGTTATCCAGACATGCCTCCGTCATCCATCAACTTTTCACCGCGCGAAATATGGTCTGAGGTGTCTCCTTCCCAAGTGGAGTAGGTGCCCAGGCTACTCAAACCATACCAGAGAACATCACCAGGAGACGGACCACAACACCTTCCATCATTGCCTGTATAAAGTGTCGATAGAGCTATCCGAATCGTAGCCTTGGCGTCCACAATCTCCCAAAAGTCGTAAATACTCAAAAAAAGGGAGTCGCGGAATGCCAATGCATGAACTCCTCACTCGTCCGTCCCACATCCTAGCTGACTCTCCTCCCTCAAGATGTGAAGCCCAATTAGAGCAACGGTCCTCCATAGACCAAGACCTGAGCTTTGTATATTATTACTTAATTTCCTCGTTGTGAATATAAGTAGCGTGATAATTTAAAGGTATGTGATGGTCGATTTCTGATGAGGCAAGCAAGCAACTGGTGCGAAATTACAACAGTGAGTGTT